GGCGGAAGCGCGGCGGGCGCGGGGCCGGTGGCGGCGGCGGCGGCCGCGGCCCATGGAGGGCACTGAGGCCGGGGCTGAGGATGAGTTCTACGAGCGCTTCGCTGATGAGCTGGAGGTGCTGGCCGAGCTGGGAGGTGGGCGCTGCTGCGGCACCGGCACCGGCACCGGCACGGGACCGGAGGCGGCAGAGAGAGGGAGTGTGCGGGCGGGACCGTGCTTTGCGCCGCCGCGTTTGCCCGCCCGCCGGGGTCCCCTCCGGTGACCGGCACCGTGGTCTGGCCCTTCTTGCAGATGATCCGTCCCCACCCGCCGGCCCCAAAATCTCCCAGTTCCGGAGCAAGAGGCAGCTGGCCGAGGAGCCCGACCCCCGCGGGGACTCTCCCGGGGACACCAACGCCAAGAAGAGGGACCGGGACTGCGTCCCCCCCGTGTCCCCGCCAGTACCCGAATCCCGCAGTAGGTTTGACCCGGTTCCCCGGGTGCTGCTGACCCTGTCCGCACACCCCGAGCGGCGCAGGGTGCTGGAGCATCCCCTGGGTACCACCCGCCATCAGTGATGCCCCTCCTCTTCCTCCCTCGCCGTGTCTCTCGCAGCCCCGAAGCCCAAGCGGCAGCGCCTGGAAGCTGTTAAGAAGCTCGATTTTGGTGCAGACGATGAGTTGGCTCCTGATATCTCCTGGGATGGTGGCCCAGAGGCCCCTGTTCCTCCCCACAATAGCAGGTTGGCCACCTTGAACCCCGTTTTTAACGTGAACGAGGGGAATGGCCCTTTCCCTACTGAAGGAATTGGTGTTTCCCAGCTCGAACCCCCTGGAGGTGAGCGGGATGAGTCCCCTGCAGACCACCCCACCCTTGGAAAAGAAGAGGGTGCTCAGGAGACCCCCCATCCTGGAGGATTACATCAATGTGACATCCAGCCARGGCACCAGGGTCTTCCTGGTGCTGAGGGATGATCTCTCCAGGACAGGGGTGGAGGTAAGGAGGGCTCTGGAGGTTGGGTTTGTCCTTGTGTGGGCTCCAGGAGGTTCAGGATTGTGCTGTGTCCCTGCAGCTCCCGGATTCCATGGGCTGGAACACTCGCAGGCCGCTCCACTTGCTGGGGGTGCCTTTCTCCTACCTGAAGGAGCAGGTGGATGCTGAGGTACCACATCTCCCCCCGACTCTCTCCCCTGTTCCTGCCACCCCAATAGCCACGGGGTGGGCTCCCAAATTCCTGCTGCCCCAGCCATGGATTGGGGGGCGTCTCTGACCCTCTTCTCTCACTGTGTTTGCACTCAAGCGTCGCAGGCAGGTTCTGGAGGCCTCACAGCAGCTGACAGAGATCATAAACAGGTGAGATGTTGGGATGGAATCCTGCTTCAGTCCCTGCCATGCTCTTTTGGGATTAAATTTTGCAGACCTCTGAGCAAAGGAGCCTTTTTGCCCTGATCTCCCCCAGCTTGGGGAGTCTGGGTGGAATTCTCAGCCCTGCCCTGACTCCCTGGGTGGTTTGGGGTAAATGAATTCCTTCCTGCAGTTGCCTTGAGAGTGAGCCCAGTGCTGAGAGCCCAGATGCCAGCATGGACACAGATCCAGCCCAGGAGGAATCCACATCCCATTGCCTCTGGGTGGACAAGTTCACACCCCGGCGCTACATGGAGCTGCTCAGTGACGATGTGAGGTGCTGGGATGAGTGGGGTTGGCACCTCTGTCACTCTTCCTTAATGCCATGGGGTCAGGAATTACCTCTGGAAGTGCTGGCTGTGGGGTTGTGGCTGTGCTGGCCCTGTCTGGGAGCAGTCCCAGCTCCCTGAGAGTTTGGGTGGCAAATTTTCACTGGAGGTTGTGGATGCGCTGGCAAAAGAATCTATGGAACATGACCAAAACGAGACAGAAAAGATTGAGAGGCCTTTAGCCAGGAATTGGTGGGTATTTTCAAATTTTTTTTGGAATATTAAAAGTTTTGTAGGGAATTTGAAATTATGGAGGAGGCTGAGAAGCGCTGAGCTGAGCCAAGGCAGAGCAGGGACAGCAGGGGTGGGACTGCTGTGACTTGTCCCGGGTTTCCCTGAGGCTGAACTGGGAAGGGAAGCATTCCCACATTGTCCCAGGGAGATGCCAGGTAGAACTCTGAGAGGAAGGACAGCCTTCCTCTGTCCTCAGCGGGATTTTTCCTCATTTCCATGGGTTTTCCTCACTTTCCTCCCCACTCTGCAGTACACCAACCGCTGCCTCCTGAAGTGGCTCAAGCTGTGGGACACGGTGGTGTTCGGCAAGGACAAGGCTGGGAAGAAGCCTAAGCCTGGCCCTACAGCTCATCCCCCCTTCAGCCATCACAAGGAGCATCCCAACAAATGGAAAACCAAGGTCCAGCTCACCGAGGAGCTCCTGGAGGCCGAGCTGGACCAGCACAAGAGACCCAAATACAAGGTGAGTAGCAGGGGATGCTGTGGTGCCTCTCGTGCCACCAGCTGAGGAGCAGAGTTGTCCCCTCCATGGAGGAAGCTCTGCCTCATTCCCTGCTGGGCTGACCCCCCTCTGTCCCACAGGTGGCCCTGCTGTGTGGCCCCCCCGGGCTGGGCAAGACCACGCTGGCCCATGTCATCGCCAGGCACGCGGGGTACAACGCTGTGGAGATGAACGCCAGGTGAGGGCACCACTGCCAGGTGAGGGCACCACTGCCAGGTGAGGGCACCACTGCCAGGTGAGGGCACCACTGCCAGGTGAGCCCCTGCCCTGCCCTCAAATAGGGGCAGGTGGTGCTTTGCAGAGGTGATGCTGGAGGAGATGCTGTCCCAGGGTTGATGCTGGAGGTGATGGTGCTTTGGAGGTGATGGTGTCCTAGGGGTTATGGTGTCCTAGGGGTGATGCTGGCAGCGTCCTTGTCCCCGAAGTGTTCCTGTGCTGCACTCGCCTGTCCCTGTGTCCCCTGGCAGTGTCCCTGTACCCGAGGTGTCCCTATGCCACCCTCACCTGTCCCCATGTCCCCTGGCAGTGATGACCGCAGCCCCGAGGTGTTCCGGACCCGCATTGAAGCCGCCACCCAGATGAGGTCGGTGCTGGGCTCCCACGAGAGGCCCAACTGCCTCATCATCGACGAGATCGACGGCGCGCCCGCGGTGAGCCTGGCACTGACCACCTTCAGCGTCAACCCCTTAAACCTCCCTGTCAGCAGCTCCTCCTCTGCTCCCTGAGCAGGAGCTCACCCCTCCCTCCCTCCCCGGTGCTCCCCCAAGGCCTCCATCAACGTTCTGCTGGGCATCATCCAGCGCAAGGACGCCGAGGGCGAGGCGGGCACGGGGCGGCGGCGGCGGCGAGAGGGAGGGATGCTGCTGCGGCCCATCATCTGCATCTGCAATGACCAGTGAGTGTCACCTGCCTGTCACCTGCCTGGGGGGACAGAGAGACCACACCCTGCCCCCACAGAGGAGGTGGCTGCTGCTGGTRGCTCTGTTTGAGTGGAGCTCCTCAAATCCTGGGGTCCGTGGGGCTAATCAGGGCAAGGAGGGCATGGAGGGCCTCGAGCGTGGCCAGGGAAGGGTCTGGAGTCCCAGGAGCAGCTGAGGGAGGTGGGAAAGGGGTTGAGCCTGGAGCAAAGGGGGATCAGGGGGGACCTTGTGGCTCTGCACAACTCCCTGACAGGAGGGGACAGCCGGGGGGATCGGGCTGTGCTCCAGGGAACAGGGACAGGAGGAGAGGGAACGGCCTCAGGCTGGGCCAG